ATATCTTTATTTAAATATCAGCATAATAATATGTGTGCATGGATGTATGAACATGTTTGAGTAAGGACGATCTTTCCTGACCTGGACAACTAGACAAACATTGCGGCAAAAAATTGTTCCAGTGCCGGCCCAAAAATACGTTCATCCTTTGACAGTTAGCACTGCACTCTGGATCTGCATGGGAAGAAAAAAAAGAGGTTTGGTTAGTTGAGGTGTCTGAAAATCAGACCATATCGATAAAATCATTCTACAACCACCGAAGTTAGTTTTTTTTTTTGAAGGTTAGAGAAAATTGAATAGAAAAAGAGCGCCCAAAAGAGAACCGTGATTAAGGCATTGTGTATTTATCAAACAAAACTCACAAAGGAAATTATAGCGACATAAAATGAAACTATATTGTACGATTCCGTTTTATGTCTTATTTGAATACGGCTATATCTAACCCCCCCCCCCCCCCCAAAGCAGATTTTGGCAATTGTGGAATGACGACGACGATAATTCCGTTGAAAATGTCGAAGACGGACATCTTTTGTGTCGAGATGAAAAGTTGCCATTTTACTTTTAGACAGGAAACCGTTTTACACAATGTCGTTATAACGAAAAACAAACAAACAAACTCGCCCCTCCACCCTCCCCGTAAAAAAAAAACCCTCCAGGGGCGAAAAGGGATTTGGCTCTTTTTACAGGTGATTGTCTTACACAGGTGGTCGTTAGATCAGGTTCGACTTTATGTAGAAGTAGTACAATCAGATTTTACTAGAACGTAAAAATGTGGGACACTGCAAGAGAGCATAGGAGTCAGGAGCTTTGGGAAAGACAATAATATCTCAATCGTCTCCAAGAAAAGTGTATCTTTTTCACTTGCTGATACTCACAATAAACAAAGAAGTAAGTAAGTAAGACAGACCACTGATACCTTTTAGATTAATTAGAAGGCGGGCTTCGACCCTACCTCACAGAGTCAACCCTGGCTGAGAGCGATACAAAATCCAAGCAGGAAGACCGAGATACTTAATTAAAATCCTCTCTTCTTGGGGATCGAACTCAGGTCTCCTGAAAGCAACAGCAAAGGGCTGAAACACAACAACACAGTCGCCACTGAGCAGACTGTGAGAGCGTCTTTCTTATCGCCAGCAAACTTGCAACAAACGTTACCTAAAGTCTGTCCTATGACGTTGTCTACATGCGTGGAGACAAGACAGATGATGACAGCGATGATGATGTTTTCGCTCGCCATGTTGTCTTTGTAGAATCCTGGTTACTGTTCTTTAGGCACTGTCTCTTGATCTGTCAATGAAAAGAAAAAAAGTCTTCGGTGGCGTCGGTGGTCTAGTGGTTAGGCTGCCGGACTCGTAATCGTGACGTTGCAGATTCAGGGGTTCGAGCCGCGGGCCCGATTTTGTATCCTTGGGAAAGGCACTTTACACGAATTTTCCCCACTTCACCCAGGTGAAAGTAATGCTAAGTAGTGAAAGAAATGCAAAAACAAACAGCAGGTTTGAAGATATCTGCTTATTATGTGAAGAAGGCACGTATGCAGAGAGAGAGAGAGAGAGAGAGAGAGAGAGAGAGAGAGAGAGAGAGGGAGAGAGAGAGTGAGAGATAGAGAGAGAGAAAGAGTTAGACAGACAGACAGACAGACTGACAGACAGACAGAGGGAAAGAGAGATAGACAGACTTTCTAGCTAATTAAATGACAGAATGGCATTCGTTAATTCTGAGATTCATTAATGTTCTACTTGTCCCAGCTGGCCTCACCGACTTGAACGTGATTCAACAACTCTCTCTAAAGACGATGCTTGACATTGAAGAAATCAAATTTGTACAAGCGCGGGACAAGACGGGAAAACTGACAGAAAAAAGCAGCAATAAAAACTGTCGGAGACACCTGGGATTTTGTTACATCTGTCAAACATCCACATAATCATTGAATACGTGAGAAAATGTGTTGGACAAAACTAGGAAAACAAAGAGAAAAACCCCGCAGTGTTACTTACTTTACACATACACCTCCCTTTGTGACCACACAGCTCAGCATCTCATTAGATTATCCAGCCAATGTCTCAGTCTCAGGTGTAAGATTAGTTCGTCACTGAGACTGAGTGGTAGACACTTCCCTGTGCTACTCTTTTTCTCTTTTCAATGTTCACGTCCACAACAATAAATAGTATCACAGGCAAATGCTTACACAATGTCCACGTCGGTATTATATATAGGTACTCAGTTAAGCTTACGACTTCTCCCCCCCCCCTCTTCTACCTTCTCTCTGCCCCCCCCTTTTTTTTTCTCACCCCCTGTCTTTCTCTCCCCCACTCCCCCTGTCTCTTTTCCACCCCCCCCCTCTCTCTCTCTCTCTCTCTCTCTCTCTCTTTCTCTCTCTCTCTATGTGTCTCTCCCCTTTTCTATATATCCCTCCCAATTCCCCCCCCCCTCTCTCTCTCACTCTCACTTTCTCTCTCCCTCTTTCTCCCTCTCTCTCTCCCTCCTCTCTCTTCCTCCCAGAATTGAGACGAATAGAAAACGATGATGACAGCTCATTACCGTGTCGCATCAGGTCGCCTTTCATCACCACGCAGGTGTTACTTACGCCATCTTTCGGAATAGAACACGAGGGAGGACGGAGGTGCGCAGATTGTGCAAAGATGGAGACATTATTGTCAAGCCTGCGTACGATTTCCGCTTATCCTCCTTGTGAATAACGGCCACTTTAGACAGTTAATCACTCTGAAGAAGTGTACAGTGACTTAAACGTTCTATGGAGAGCAATGCTTGTCAAACTTGTTATAGCTCCCTTTGGCCACCTTTAAGAGGCTAAAGTTTTTGTACCACCCACCAACTTTAACATTTTAATCAAAAGGGGCATTGAATAATACCTGTCACTACCCGAGTGCTCCCTACCGCCCACGAAAATTACCCAAAGGCCCACAAATATTGTCTGTATTGGCAAGCACTGGTGTAGAGGGTGGTCGATAGCTGAGTTGGTATTAGGCTGAACAAATGTGCAGATAACCCTAGTTCGATTTCCCAATGGGGCGTTCTTGAACTTGTGTGGCTTTGGGAGTTTTAAAGACTTACCACACGTGAACGTCGGTTTATCTGTACGCCGTGCACGTTTTGGAATTAGATAATTAACCCCCCCCCCCCCCATACCTCAAGCAGTTCAGGAACAGAGAAAGTGTTCTAATGTTTTGGTTTAGGTGTCCTCAATAATACATTTAACTTATTTTTTATCACGCCAATTCCCAAAGACGATTAAATCATACAGGGGAGGATTTGGGACCTGACTTTGAGAGGTGGTATCGTTCGCCCTTGCTCTAATAGCATAGATGTCAATGCCGAGTAAAGCTTTTGAATCAGATAAAATTGCAATAGGGTGGTGCATTCCAGTTTTGTTTGTGTTCTAATTTCATCGTACCGCACCCCCTGTGATCTTTCCTAACTCCTATCTAAAAGAAATCAAAATTTCTGCTCAGTCAAATGGATAAAACACGTTGAAAAACATATTGGTCCATCAAATAAATTGGAAACATCATCCTCAGGGACAAAGGCTCAAGTTTACCAAGCTTAGCTAGAGACATCCTGTCGTCTGCCAAGCCTCCGAGTACTATGAAATAGTTTCATTGGAAGATAGCTCTCGTAACTTTTTTAAAATAACTGTGGCTTATTGTGAAGCTTGTCTAGAAAGAAGTCCAAAGTAAATTGGAGCAGCATTTGAATATGTTAGATTTAGATACATTGAAAATTGTAAATTGATCAGACATTAAGTTTATATCGTTTTGTGTAACCATGGACATGTATTTCGATTTTGTCACCCGTGTGTTACAGTTAATCATGGACTTTAGAGTACTTTAAATCTTATCATGAGCTCATTGCCTGTTATGGCCAAAATACTGAAAAAAGTAAGAGTAATGGTAAAGAAACGACAGTTCATCGACAGTCATTTTAGTATAAGCACAAATTATGAGTCAACTCAAAATTTATTGTGACGTTTGAGGTATTTGGACGAGCACTGGCACCGGTAAAATAAGATACGCCAGCTGGCTATCGTGGCGGACAGCTATTTAGTTTCTGCGTTTTAGAAACAAGGTCTTTGACGCACATTTATTTAATTTGGTGGTGGATTAGCCGTTTATGCATTTAGGCAGAATTTGACGAAATTGGACCTACAATAACGAAATTTGAATAATTTATTGATTGCTATTGTTAACGTTAATTCTGAAACGCTATTTAATTTGCCGCAGTCACCTATTCTAATCCAAAGTGTAGAGCGTGCACGAGCAAGAAGAAGTGAGTCCACTAAATGAATATGACGAAATTGGAACACATTTCCCTGTTAAGGATTCTAGCTTTTAAAAAAAGTGGAATTAGAATTGTAAAGGATTTTATCTTGAAAAGCAGGTACATACATACGCTAGTTAAAGCTGGCACCGCGTGTAAGGTGGACCGGTTAGGCGCTTCGCTGTCCTAAGCATGAGACCTGAGTTCGATTCCCGAGTGGCGAGACAATTTTTATCGAGTATCTCGGGATTTCTGCGGGGATGTTGTATCCCTCTTTACCTGGGTTGGTCCTGATAGGCAGGGTCGTACGTCCGCTTCCTAAATGATCTAAATTGTATGGATGGGGACTTAAAACCAACTACGTTAAAAAACACACAAAAAATATCAAAGCTTACCCTGATGGCCCCGTCTCCTGAAGGCACGTCGTTCAGTCCTGAAGATGTTAGCAGAATGGGACAGTTCGTCTGGACATACAGAGCTCTGTACAGCGGCAACCTCAGCCTACAGAACATGATAGGACAGCCTTCAATGGTCTGCAGTAGGACCTACGTACCTTAACCTACATTAAATAACAGTCTAATTACAGGAAAAATATCCACGCAGTTATGGGAACCATGTAGTTCACACTAAAGCAAATAACTTCTTAAAAGTAAAGACACTATGATGTCATAAGCTGGAAACTGGGTCAAAAACACGGGTTTCCGATGTCTGAGGTGTAAGTCCGCTTTCTCATGTTGTGCGCAAAAGATATGAGTTCGATTACCAAGCGAGTATATTTTTTAAATTTAGTAACTCCGCGTGTCTGCCTGGATTTAGGCCCTGACAGGCCGCAGTGAAAAAGCTCGCAGGATAAATGATTTAAACTATGTCTATTGAGGGGGGGGGGGGGGTTGAGAGAGAGATAGAGTGAGGGAGATAGAGTGAGGGAGAACAAACGACTAGGGGAAAAATTAGCCTATTCATGATTTGACTTCCCTTAGGCTTTTATCCAGATCTTTCTAAATGTGGTTGTCAAATATATGGTGGCAGTAAAAACAAAAAGACCCTTACATCATCTTTATATAAAGAGGAAAATTGAAACAAGGAGGAAAATGCATTTGTGAAGGCGACACGTTTGGAGGGCAAAGGAGAGGACATAAGAAAAGATAAAGCTATGTCGGTCATCTCGCTGTAGAATCTAAATTGTTTTGCTGCTGTTGGATTTTTGATAAGGGAAGCCAGATTGTGAAAAAGTCGGACCGTATATTTACCGGTAGTAAACGGGTATGCTATCACTAGACAATATATAGCAGCGAGAACCAACAACAAGGAATCGAACTGAAACAGAGGTAGGGGCAGATCCAAGAAAAAATGGATAGAGGGAGTCAGAGAAATTTTAGTTGAGAACAAGATAACCAGGCAACAGGCGATACAATAAATAAGGGAAAAACATTTACTTTTCCCCTCGACACCGCAAGGTAAGAGAGGCTGGAAAAAGTAAGTACGTAAAATTGTTCTACAGTACAGAGGATCAAAGTATCAGAACCAGGGGCGAAGCGTCTATATAATTAAATAATCACTGCTTCCCTTTCTAATTTTGAAACATTGTCGCTGTCAAACTCATCCTTAAACGTAAACCTCATAAATTAAATGTCAAAAGACGTTCGTAATCAACAAATAAAGTGAGGATGGAATAGAGTTGAAGGGAACATGTGCATGGGTGTCAAAGCTGTTTCATTGCCACATATACCCTGTTCACCCCTTTGGGGCCGCAGTTAAAATCAATCACAAGCCCTGATTAAGTAAGCTAACTAACACTGGTCGAGTCTACCTCACAAATGTGAGGGGAACTAACTCTTAATAATCTCTTGACTGCTGCTTGTACTTGTTTTTTTTCCTCGACCTTTTACCGTCCTATAATCAGATCGTGACCTCGATTATGACACCACCTCCTGGCCGCGAAAGGCTAACAAAAACAGCCAAATGTGAAATTTAAAAAATAATAATTGTCATGTTCTACCAAAGAGTTAGACTCACTGGTAGATCTATAACATATAGATCTAGTACTGACATCTCTGCTTCTTTGCTTTATGTTTATGTATTCACATCTAAAGTTAAGTTTAATTTTAGTGGGAACTGATATTTAATAAGATACTTTCCCGATTGTTTTGGCGGTTGAACATACAATATGAATTCCGGATTTGTTTTCATTCACAACTCAGAGTCGCCGCCTCGAGTAAGATTCTTGTGTGATATCTACAGGCCCTATCTGGTCCCATTTCACTTTGATTACCCTGTCAAACAAGTCA